CCCCCAGCCCCTCTTTCCTTGTTGGTCTCTTTACCCCACAGCCCCTCCCTTTTCCTCCTTTCTCCCCCAACCCTTGCCTCACTTTCCTTCCTTCTTCCCCACCTGCTGCTTCCTTGAGCCTGCCTCACAACCTTCTCGATATGACTCAGTATTACCACTGATTTTCCCAAACTCATGTTGTCTGAAGGCCACTCTCCTTTTTCTAGGACCAGCCAGCTGCCTTTAGTGTTCCCAGGGGTCTTGCCAAAACCGGGTTTATTGTGGGGTCCAGGGCAATCCTTGTGCTGCTCACTGAGCAAACTCAGAATCACCCCGAGCTGCTGCTGTGTTCCCTCCAGCCCTCTCTGGGTATTATAGTCACGTTTGCCTACAGTCTTCCTTTCCCAAAGCTAGCTACAATTTCAGGGTCACAAAGGCCCTGGATCCAGATGCAACTATCACAGCAGTAATAACAACTATGTATCAACTACATTTCCTGCATTATCTCATTTTTATGACAGTTTTGCAAGAAAAAAATTCGTAGCCCCATTTTACAGATGGAGAGACAGAGATGTAAGGAGGTTAAATCGGTTGCTCAAGGTCATACTGCCAAAAAGGAGCAAATTCAGGATTTGACCCAACTTGGCCCAAGGGTTCTGAGCCTCATCCAGCAGCTGGCCAGGATCCCCAGAAAGAAGGGTCTTTCTCCTGCTGCTTGCTTTTGGGGTCCCTGACGCCCTCTCTCCCCCGACAGCCTGTGCTCCCACACACAGCTGTATGCCTCTTGTGTGGGGAGGCTGGGAAGGAAGACACAGTGGAGGGAGAGGAAGAGAAATTTGGTTTGAGTCTCATGGAGTGTACAATCTGCAATGAGATCGTCCACCCTGGCTGCCTGAAGGTGATGGCCCTGGGGACCCTGGAGGCTGGGGTAGGGCAGATTGTCGGGGAGCAAGGAGGTGGGCTAGGCTGCCTCTGAGTTTGCTGGCACCTGACATCCACTCCCTGCCCTCTGCCTGTAGATGGGGAAGGCTGAGGGTGTCATCAATGCAGAGATCCCCAACTGCTGGGAGTGCCCTCGCTGCACCCAAGAAGGCCGGACTAGCAAGGTAGGGGCTGGGGCTTGTCTGG